ACGATTTTTTAATTAGCGGGCGAGTTGTCGGGAGTCACTGCGCCGAGAAACTATTGGGTTTTTCATAGCGCCGCGACTTTCGTCGCAATATTAATTTTCTTATTGCAGAGATTAAGGGATGAAACGGGGGTTGATGGATGGGGAATTTAATTCTCCCCCCCGGAGGGAGGGAGTCAGTCACCCCCTGATCCGGGCCGCTACTCAGGTCTATCCTCTTTGCTCCCTACTTACACTGTGACGGTTTGACTGAGACAGAGGAGAAACAGAGAGAGAGGGAATCGGTCTGTTAGTCATCTCGCACCGTGAAATGTTCAATTTAAGGCTCGTGTATACGGCTCATTTTGTTCACTTAATTTCTCGATACCTATCAGTTCTAAAATTTTGGAATTTTCACCAATGTTCACCATGTGTCTGATATCAATGAAAAAAAAAACTTCTAATAAACATTCAAGAATATCATTTTTCAAGAATATATGTATGTATATGTATGTATGTATATGTGGCACTCTTAAATCTACAACTGCTGTTTGCTGAAATCAAAGACTCTGGTCCTTAAAATAAGAACTGGGTAATGAAGCCAAGAACCGTGTATCCTGAAAGTAAAGAAGGGGAGGGGGTTTATGTTGTAATGTCATACCGTAAGTAACGATGACTATTTAACAATCCCAAGGTTTCTATGTTAAGAACCCGAAGAACTGGATCCCAGGACCGAAATAGCGTGAAATAACTCTAATAGCAGGAAATATAGTTTGATTTAAGTACCGTGGGTCCTAGACTTCAGGGAAAATTACTGAGAACTAGGAATCTTTCTGGGATTCGCAGAGAAAATTCTCTTCGAATAAGTAAAAATTCCACTGAAATCCAGAAAATTTTACTCTCTTGATTTCAGTACCGCCGAGTACTGAAATCCAGAGATTGTTAGTGAAAACCAGAATTTTTTTCTCTGCGGATCAATAACACGGAAGCATACCTTTAAGTCCACAACTTTCTTTCACCGTAAATGGTACACCAAAAAGCGGTTGAGTCCCAGTTATTTTGTCAATGGTGACCTGTCCACTCTCGAGCATTTTATCGCAATCACGAGCTTCTCTGAGAGCATCTTCGTATCGTTCATCAACAACAGCATTGATGAATGGATTCACCTCCTTTATCCGCTCAATGTATGCTGCAACTACAGCTTCACTTGAAATCTGTCGGAAAACACGCAAATGTTACCTAACAGAAGTCAATATAGCGCGAACGCAAAAGTTTAGGACAAAATTTGAACAATTGTCTTGAACAATTCAGTATATAGCGATTTTCAGAAAAACCACATGTTCCGTTTAGGGTGGGGAAATCATAAAATTTCAAAATTCTCTGAACATTAAATGAAATTATAATTTTTTTAACTGAAAAAAAAAGAGAATTGTCAAAATTACTTGAATTTTCTAATGACGGAATTTGAAATTAAGGATATCCAAGTACTTTGACTATTTTTTCTCCAGTGAAATGCTCTGCTTTGGCAACAGGTGGGTATAAAACAAACAATAACCTGCCGGTGTGGAAAATTTGACTAAACAGAAGGATAATTTTTGCATCCATAGATGTGTTTTTTCACCGAGAAAATTGTAAGTTATCCACTAAAAACCAGTATTCTTTCGCCGAGTTACATTTCGCTCTACGATCACCGTTCTTATTGGGAACTCTAGCACTGAATGACGCACTCTACCGGCCGTAGCGCGTACTAGTGCGAGCAGGTAATTTGGAGCCACTGAATGGGTTTATGTATACAAAAGAGTTATTTTTTGCCGGTTATTACTAAATTCCTCGTGATTTATATTGTTTGTGCCTATCAACACAGTCCCAAGTCATCCTACAAGCCGAGAGAATACTACTTTTCAATAAAAAAATAGAGTTTGACGTCAGAGTAACAAACAATAAAGAGTTTTGCAGTGTGCCTGGCTGCAATAGTTCAGCCTATTGTAATCCTTCAGTGAGATTCTTCCAATTTCCTTTAAGAAAACAAGAGTTTCGTAAAATTGAAGACGGAATTCGGTGAAGAGGAAACAGTTAATCGTCTAATTGCTTGGAAAAAAATCTTGAGAATCGCAAAGCCAGTGACAAAATCAATGAAAGTATGTTCGTTACACTTTACCAAAGATGACTTCTTCACTCAATGTAATCCAGCTGAGAATCTAATGAAATTATTCAATTTTCCATTGTCAGTTGATTTTTCTGTTATCTTTCGCGAAATAAATTGACTTTATTCATTTTAATTATAGGTGAAAATGGTAGAGCTATTCACTTAAACCTCATAAGTGTCCCGTCTTGTAATTTGCCAATGAGACAGCAAATCGACACAATTCTTGCATGGACACTTTCATGATTAAACTACCCGTGAAATCCCAACGAAAACCTTACAATTTTTAATTACTCCAATTGTTTACAAGGGAGATTATACGAACGCACTGACGATTACCTGCTCACTCTAGTTCAAATTTCGGCCGCAAGGCGGCCAAGGCATTGGCCACGCCTCCCTCAGAGTTCCCGATAGTAAAATTTGTCACGATTATCTAGGTAATTTCTACTCAACTTTTATCTCGGCATAATTTTGCAGCTCTTGTCACAAAGAAATATTTACCTGCGAGTAACATACTTTTTTCAAGCAAGTCCATAAAAAAAAGATTCCCAGGGGATCAGGAACTGGACATTGGCAACTGATCAGGAACTGGATATTTAATTGTGAAAATGCCGTAGCTTTTTGGCCAAACCAAACAGCTAGGACATTTCCAAAGATAATTATGCCGTAATTCCTCTTCCACTCTTTCAGCTGCAAAGATCACTAAGAACAAGGTTTTCATAATTAAAATGCGTACGTACTTGCCGGAGGCGTATTTTCTTTGCCAACTCAGTAGCGCTGAGCTGAAGAAGAGAGTTCTTCGTTGGGGGTAGTTTCGGAGGTTGCACACGATTCAAATACAAGAAGACTGGTTGTAGTATCATCAGTATCAGAGAAGACAGCCATGATGCTATTCGTACTCCCCATTTCATCCTTAACAGTAGGCAAATTGTAATGAAATGTATTTATAAAAAAATTAGCTTGTTATATATTCCTAATGATATGCAAGGAAGAATTTACATATGATTTCCAAGGCATGGAAGTTCCGGTGAATGAATATTACTACTATTTAAATGTTTTTCATGGATCACTTACAAGAGTCTTAGACGTCAATAGTACAAAAAATTGAAGATATGATATGATGAACGTTATAATGATCAACTCGTTTCAATATGTAATTACCGTCGATGATTTGTATAGAGAATAAAAAACATTATAGCATGAAAAAGTGTTGGAAAAAACGTGTTGATAATATAAAAAATCTGGGAAGATCTCCATACGATGACCAGTAGAAAAGACTAGATGACATATATGGGTAGTCAACGGCGCATTGGAATGAAATGATACAATTATTGTAGGTCTCGAATGACAAGAACCAAATAATTGGGTATTTTCAAACACGAAAAAATTTAATAGAAAAACCTACCGAATTCGCTACATAAAATAATTCTATTAGATTTCTGTTGAACTTTCTACTAGTTTTTGACCCGATTCTATTAAAATGTTCAATAGGAAACATTCTATAGGAAAAGTCAATAGTATTCGATTTTTTTATACTTCTTCTATTGAGATATTTTCCTTAGAATTGGCTCGGCTCAAATTTTCTAAGCTTTTTTCTTCTTTTTTCATCGAGAAAATCAAACAACAAAACTAGGAAAATTTGCGCCGAGGAAATTCTATAGAAAATATCCCAATGGAATAAATTATAGAAAAATCGAATTCTGTTAACTTTTTCTATAGAGTATTTTCTATTGAACATTTCTATATAATCGACCAAAAACTAATAGAAAGTTCAATAGAAATCCAACAGAGTTGTCTAGAGAATTCGCTAGGGTTTTCTGTTAAATTTTTTCGTACGTTCCTATCTTAGCACGATCGCACTGATAGATATGACACGATCAACATCTATAGGACTTCCTATTGGAAATCTTATCAATCAAATCCTATAGGACTTCCTATAGGGAATCTTATGGAGCATTCGAACATTCCCTGTTGGGAACTCAGATGGGGGCGGGGCGTAGATCGCGGACCCTGCTTGCGCAGATTCACATTTTCGCCACTCGACAGTAGCTCCTTGGGAGAGATAGGGCTCGCAACCTACTTACATGGGTTCCTATTCCGTCCGATAGATAGAGTATTCGAGTTCTGGACTTCCCAATAGGATTCCTTATCAGATTTTTTCTATTGTATTTTTTAGAGGTTATCCTATAGGATTTCCTACAGGAATTCATATGAGATTTTCAACAGGATTTCATATAAAATTTAGGGGCATAAGGGTCATATGGAAATCATACCAGGGTCATATGGGGTCATATAGGAATTTCATGAGGGTTATATAGGGATTATATGGGGGTCATATGAAGGTCATTTGATCCTCAATGCCCCCCATATGAGCCCCCTATGACCTCCGTGTGGAGTCACAAATTAAAAAAAAAATTACCGTAAATTACAGTAATTGACAGAAATTTTCCGGAAATAAATTGTTACGATAATTCTGGATGAAGATAAAATTTGATTCGGCTATTACGTAACAATACCGTAACATTACGGTATTTTTACAGAAATTTTACCAGAAATAAAATTATCGGTCATTTTACATCTCCAGCACTCATAAAGGCTCTCCTGTTCTACGTTTAGTACGGCAGTGCACATTCCAGTACAATTATATTTCAGTGTTAGGGGGCCGATTTTCCGGTCGATCGGAAACATTGCCGTTAAGGGGTAACGGAAGCCGTCGCAAATGTTTGTTTTTTCGACCCATTTTTCTCCGATTGTGTCTAATATAAATGGCTGAAATTTTTACCAAGTATTGAGGGGAGTCTAAGCGTTGTCGTCCATCTATTATTTTTGAGCATCGGCTGTGTCGTTAAGTTTTCTGAATTTTTTTTTGCGAAAAATCTGAAAAATAATATATTAGATGGAGGACAACACTTAGTCTCCCCTCAATACTTGGTGAAAATTTCAACCATTTATATTGGACACAATCGGAGAAAAATGGGTTGAAAAAACAAACTTGCGACGGCTTCCGTTACCCCTTAAGGGAAGTGGTTGCGTAGACGGAACGCCTAATCTGTCAACTCAGGTGTTGCGTTCACGGAGCGACTTTCGTTAACGGAAATATTTCCGATCCACTCGAGACTAGGCCCCCGGAAAAGGAAAGTTTGTATGTTGCTTTCTGAGGAGTAAGAGGAAAGTGAGTACTTTCCGATCGAGAGAGCAAGAAAGTAGTAATAGCCTTGTGGGATCATATGAGAAGAACAAATTCTCAGCATCGACTTTTTTGGCCTGCTGATTTGGCGTGGATCTGCTCATATATACCTCAAAGATTAACATATCTATAATAGCTTATCGCATGGCGGGATATTCGTACTGAGTAAAATCATAGATTCTTGAGTCGAGAAATGCTAATTCTTGCCTGACTTCTTTGAACTTTTCTTCACGGAGAAAAAAATTTCAGAAAAATTACTGTGGTAGCACGGTCAAATAGGTTCATTTGGACGGACCCGGAAAAATTCCCGTGCCAGCACCGGAATTTCTGTCGTGGGCTACAGGAATTTTTCTCGGATTTACCGTGAAAAATTCTCGTACTCCACAGCAATTTTCCGGTGCTGGCACGGCAATTTTTGCGGGTCCGTCCAAACGAACCCATTTTGTCGTGCTGGCACAATCATTTTTCTGGAATTTTTTTCTCCGCGTGGCTAACATGAGGCAGAAATCCCATGTAATCATATGAGACCGAGAAGTTCTTCACGGCCGTCTATCGAACGATATTTTTTGTCTCTCAGTCCATGAATGGTGATTTATGGACGCGAACGGTAGCGAACAGAGTCGTAAAATAGTATATTTCCTCATTAGGGCAAAAAAAACTTTTCTGCGCATATGTGCAGCCCGAGCTGACGGCGAGGGTTGCAATCATATGAACCTAGAAAAGTTGTTTTAGGCCTTCTGACGAACAATATTTTTTGTAATAACGGCTGTAGGCAGTGATTCACGGACGCTTAACGTTCGTAAAGCGCTGCCTTACGGTTTTAATGACAAAAAATATCAATATAAATATTCAATCCAACGTTAAAGTTTGTTCTACGCAATGACATTGTTCCAGATTGATATAATAAAAATTAACTTGAAGAAACTCATTAATCGTCTGACAATCAAACATTTCTGACTGATAACTTATTTCCATCGAAATTCATTAAAAAATACTTTCATTTTTAATTCACATTTCAATTTCAAATGTCTAAATTAATCAAAGGTCTTGGGGGTAAAGTGGGTTCAGATGGTCTTTCCAGGCGAAATGTTCCGCAAAGAGTGGGAAAAAGTACTGTTGCACGAGTCATTTTTCAAATAAATGCGAGGAACTCGATTTTCCGTGTAGCACGGTAAAATCGTAGCGACAGTGAATTTTTACGAGAAATACGAGAAAAATTATGACCCCGGCTGGCAAATTTTTCCGGTGCTCTACCAGAATCCTAGGACTCGATCGAGCATTCGTAAGATTTCGGCACTCTTCGTCCCCCCTCCGCATCCACGAACTCAACGTGACCTGGGCAGCGATTTTGCTCGTTTTATGTCGACATAAAATCATAAATTTCAACCAATCCTAGTTGAGTATTCCAAATCCAGGGCTGTCATTGGTTGAAATTTACGATTTTATGTGGACATAAAACGAGAAAAATCGCTCCCCAGATGATTTATTCCGTCGCCTTCTCTCTCGCATGTCTCCTTACTGAAACCCCAGGTTAATGTTTTTCATAATATCAATTCAGTGTAATATTAATTAGTGTTGTGATAAAATGGTTAAAAAATAAAATAAGTGCCCTTTATTTTCTCTTCATGAGGTGTATAACGCTGTAGAGATACATTGGCCTGTCAAACGTTCCACATACGTTTGCCGCGCATTCCGCTTTTAATATGGGAGAGAGGATATGGAGGAGAAGTTAAAATTAAATTAATAGGATGATATGCTGAATGACAATGTTTACTCATTTTTAACTATTGAATGTAATTTATCATGTAATAGAAAACAATCAGGGATCAAGCTTTTATTATGCGGTACCGGAATTTTTACTATGCAGCACCGGAATTTTTCTGGGGCTAGACAATTGAACCCACTTTCCCAGACGGCACGGTAATTTTTGCCTGAATTTCTCTTGAAAAATTCTGGAATTTTTTTCTCCGTGTGGGAAACAGAAACAAACCCAAAAGAACACCGCACTCTCATCGCCCAAAATAAAAATTAAAGAAATAATCCTCCGAATACCCTTCAACCTCGAATTTTTACCCGATTTTTCCTTATTTCCATTAATTTTCATGAAATAATTGAACTAAAATTTAGTTTTCATCGATTTGTTCATCAAATTCTGAATTTTCCATGACGGAATTCCTTTCATTTTCTGCGGCACTGCCACAAAATAAAAACCTCCATGTTTCTTCCCCCGACAGAATTATTGGTATTTATTTTCTGATAGTAAGTTTGCAGTTCAGTAACACATTATACAATTATACCACTAAAATGTAACAATTAGCTAAATGAATGTTTTGACTAAGTGAACATTGCTTGCGCAAGCGACTCATTCCGACATTAAGTACATATCTATCAGTCCAGTTTGGATGTTTACGAATGTCTTTATGCGTTCAATTTTCGTGAGCATTTCTTATCAGAGATACTGCTAGTGTCAATGTCTGATAATAAAAAGGCAACAGATAAAGGCATCGAAGATATTCGAAATGAAGTATCAAACTCATTCTGATGCATGCAAAAATTGAATTGCGACATGATTCCCACATTTTTATTCAAACATTCGAGAATATTCTAAACTTGAAGGTGTTTATATTAAGCTTTGTTGAATTGTGGATTTTGTATATACCGCGAATTTGACTCCACACTTGACTATTCTTTAGTCCCACACTGATAGAAAGGATGAGTTATTGTTAGCAAATGGATTTGATTGGAGGCTAGAGTCGCTCACCCAAGGGGCTAATCACTCCATAATTGAGTAACACCATGATTTCGAAATGAGGTCGATTTCGGATGATTTCAGTGATTTCGGAAAAAATGATTTCTGTAATTTCGAGCATCAATTGAGTTGATTTCACGATTTCGAATGATTTCATTGATTCGAAATCAGTAATTTCACAAAAAATGAAGTCATTGAAATTGCGATGAATAAAGTGAATAATAGAGGTGGGGCAAAAAGGGTCGTGTCAAATTATGAAAATCAAAACTGGCAATAATAACGAATTCGTTTGATTCCGCTCCGCCAATCTTGAGCTAATGACGATAAAAAGCAGTCCATTTTCCCCCAGTCTCCACTAATAATTTACAAATAACAATCAATTTCAGAACTTTATACTGGAAATCAAAAGTTACATAAATGATTTCACACATAGATTGTTATAGCATTAACTCATTTATTTAGAAATATTTTTCAACTTCATCAAAAATTCTCTTAGGGAGCCTCAAATCTCTACTCTCAGTGATCAAAGGAGGAGAAATTGTTCTTCGATACTGGCTTATATTAATGTAGCTGTGAGAACGCATTGGCTGTGACTTTAAAATATTTAGACTTTTATCCAAAATATATCAATGGCAAAGACCACCTATATTTTTGTTATTACCACTGACACGAGCATATTCGCTCTAAGACTCCCTGCTTTGCCGAGTTTTCCCCTCTGAATAACCGAAATCAAGCACATACTCTAATAAACAAGTAGGATATTTTTCCTCCTGAAATAAACACCAATCACCGACAACAATTTTCTTGAATTCTTTCACAAAATAATTTTTCTCGCTTTGCAAAGGGTTCTTACGTCGATGACTAGTACTTCTCGTTATTTCTTTGTCTCTAACTCGCTGAAGTCCATCACCACTGAGTTTTAAGTGATCTTTATTAAACAACCAACATATTGAGGATTTGCGAACTATTGATTCTTGGTCTGAGGTATCTGAAACTATAAGGAATGGACTTTCGGGTTCCATACGATAATAAGCGCTTACATTTGTCTGGGAGTAAGTAAATACGGGATTCTCAGAAAAACCAGTATGACAATGAGTACAGCATTTTACTATTATCGTTGGCGGGCGTGTCAATTTCAAAATCACGAATTACTTGCACGGTTCGCACTACGCCAGTGCGTCACTGATTTTGGTGATTTCATTGATTTCAGACGATTTTACGTAATTTCGGAGATGATTTCGAAAATAATTTCGGAGAACTGAAATCACTCAATTTCAGTGATTTCAGAATGATTTTATGGCAGAGTGGCGCCGTGATTTGAGTAGCCCCTCGGTCTCACCAAATGTTCATTCGTTAATAATTTACAAATGCATACTTGAGGAGCCTTGTTTGACTCCACTTGCACCTTTCAAGTGAACCATTCGTTAACTATTAACAAATGTTTATTCGTTCATATTCAACCCTAACATTTGTTAATAGTTAACGAATCTCATTTGGAATAAACGAATCATTCTATCAGTGCACGGAGAAAAATAAATCGGTAAAAGTCTTGCGATCGCAAGGAGTTTCCCGATTTTTTTTTTCCGTGTGCACAGTTGAAAATTTCATTTTCCCTAGGCGAGGGTCTTTTCCTTGAGTTACATAAAAGTCAAGTTTCATGCATATAATAGCAACTAATAGCCCATACTTTTCTTCCAGGTTGTGAGAAAATTGAATTGCAATAAATATACTCACTTGATAAATTACAGGAACAAATTAAAATTGGTATACAATATTAAAAACAAATAAAAATCGGAAATGATTGTGTTTATTATAGATTATTCAAATGTGGAAAGCACATTAATAAAGAAGGAGGAAATATTTTAACCACTTTCAGAGCATCTTTCGTTTGCAATGCAGTATCCGGACCGCAAATATCTAGAACGATTTCACCGTATTAGGGGGCGGACATAGTCTCACGACGGCGGTTACTCACGAACTGAACAAATCACTCCTTAGCGTAACATGACTTATGCGTGCCGCTAGGTTCCAGAAAATAAGTCATTTGTTGGAGATATATACAAGACATATCTACATATGCCGACAAGCTGCTGAATATGCATAATTTTCTTCTACTCTGCATATTACATAATTAGTTGAAAACAAGAAAGACGTGTGATGAACGCTGTATTGTATTCGCTAAATTTTGTTTTCTTTATTTTTATGACCTTCAAGAGTTTTTGGATAACTCCACCTTCATTCGAGATGAGAAAAACCAGTGATTCGTATGTGAACGTGGCGAGCATAGTCACTTAATCCATCAATGTCGTATGAAACGAATGAATAAATTTGTATGAAGTGAATGAACATTAAGTATTCGCTTGGTCCCAAAAATAATATATCAAATATTCCGCGCCAAATGAGTCAACCGATTTTTCCGACGATTGGGGGTGTTAAAAAGTGTTTCTCAAATTTTTTCAGATTTTTTCAATAGCCCAGTTAGGGAGATATGATTTTTTTTACATTTTTCCGTTTTTTTCCAATAACTCGAGTTCTATTTGTCCGATTTTGATTTAGTAAGTGCCAAAATTTTTTTAATAGATTCAGGAGATCCAGGAGGATTCCCAACTTCTATAACAGCTCAAAATACTTGTTTTGATTATAAGAATCACTGAAAAAAATGAAACAAATCAAAAGTGACATAATTAGCAAAATTGAACTTTTTCAACTTTTATTCGAAAATGGGTTATTATGAGCATCTAAAAATCGAAAAAGACTCTTACTAAAAATATTCTTATAGGCAGTAGAAAATGCAAAATTTTGACGCTTAATAAATCAAAATCGTATGGATAGAATGCGAGCTATTAAAAAAATCATATCTCCAAAATGGGCTGCCGAAAAAATTTGAGAGATAGTTTTTTAGCCCCCCCCAATCGTAGAAAAAATCGCCATCAAAATCCAAGCGGGTGAATGGCAACGGTTGACTCATTTGGCGCGGAATACCTCATATAAACACGCACGAAAAAATTTAATAGAAAAACCTATCGAATTCGTTGGAAAATTCTATTGAATTTCTATTAAACTTTCTATTAGTTTCTGGCTGATTCTATTGACATGTTCAATAGAAAACATTCAATAGAAAAAGTCAACTGAATTCGATTTTTCTATGTAACTTATTCTTTTCATATATTTTCTATAGAATTTGGTCAACTCTAAGTTTTTTTCATTCTATTTTTCTTTTCGTCTCATCAAGAAAATCAAGCGAAAAAACTTAGAAAATTTGAGCCGAGGAAATTCTATAGAAAACATCTCAATAGAATAAGTTATATAGATGAATTGAATTCTACTGACTTTTTCTACTGAATATTTTCTATTGAACATTTCAATAGAATCGGCCAAAAACTAGTAGAACAGTTCAATAGAAATTCAATAGAATTTTCTAACGAATTCGATAGGTTTTTCTATTAAATTTTTTCGTCCGTGAAAACCCTCAAGAGGAGAGAGGTTTATAGTAGGTATGTCTACTGAGGATGTAAAATGACGGTAATTACCATTCCTGCCTTGATGCATGTCTCATGCTACAAGCTAATCGATCAAATTACCCACTCGTTAGTAATTTTTTCTCGTTATTATTTGTGTTATGCTGAAAAATCGTCTATCTAGATGTAATCTGGCCATCATTTCTGTGCTCGGTCATTTTTTTCATTTTCTGCATGAATTTTTTCAGACATTGGAATAAAATTATGAATAACGCCGAAACGAAAATTAAAGATTCAGTGAATATTACCTTAATATGGAATTGCAAATGAATCAGAAAAGCTTCGTTTTTTGATTTATCATTATCGTAGAACCTATGAAGTTCAATTATAGAAAAAAAGTCGTATAAAATTTTTCGTTGAATAAATGATTCCGTAAATCTTCTCATTTAAGAACTCACTAAAGAACTTTGGAATTATAATGATTTTTTAAGCACATTGAACTCAATAGCGAAGTGGTAAACTGGGTTAAGTCGATTTTGACTTTTGGTAAGTTTTTATAAACATCTCGGAATCTAAAAAAGAGCAAAATTTTTCTCATGACCTTTTATATAACCCTCAATTGTCTCTACAAAAAAGGCAATAACAAAAACTTTTCTATCTTTTTTAGATTCCGAGATATTCGTCAAAAACTGGCCAGTAGTCAAAATCGACTTGACCCGATTTACCGTTTCGCTACTGACTTCGAGAATGGCTAACGCAAAGACATCAAAATTCTGGATGCTAATTGGTACTGCGGATAGTCAAACGAATGCTAAATTTCATCTCAATCGGTTCAGCGGTTCCTGAGATATAGCGATGCCTCAGAAATCTTTTTTTGGAGAAATCTCGTGAACCATTCCACCGATTGAATTTTTTAAAATACTCATCATAATAATAGCTATTCAACTAAATCTAGTTTCCAAATCCAGTAGTTTCAGAGATATTTAACTTTATGTGTGAAACTCTTTCGCTCGATATCTAAAAAACTATTGGTTCGATTTCAATTTTTTCTTCAAGGTTAAGTAAAACGAAATTATCGGCATTATGTCTAAACTTGATATTAAAGGGCATATATTTTTTGATTGGTATAGATAGACGCCATCGAGACAAGTATTTCGAAACAAGAAAAATTGAATATGGTTGCAGTAGTTTTTGAGATATTGAGGAAAAACTAAATTTGAACAAGGTCTTATATTTATCTATCTAACTATATTTATTTATTAAACTGCAGGTATAACACCCATCCCTGATAGATCAAACCCGGAGTTAACTCTGGGTTAATTCGGTCATTCGTTTTTGAAATAATCGATCTTCAATGTATGAAAAATCTCAATCTAATAACCCGCGACTTTTGAAAACTCATAGCAGTAATCCCTTAATTTCTTCTGGGCTGAAATTTTAGAGGGGGGGGGGTCGTTTTGTTATGTCCTATCCAAGTTACTAGGAGGACAGTAGCGCCATTTGGAATATTGAGCGCCAAACTTTGAAGTGTGGATCCGTTAGCCACTAAACCTCTGATGAGGACTCCATCGATGTTGACTCGTTCAATGATAGGATAATTGGCTTGAAGGTTTATTTGTGAATAAATCCAAACACCAGTGCTTAGGAGAGCACATTAACACTTTTATTCAAAATAACTCTTGACTCAAAAATCTAAAACTTGGACTACAAACTGGATAAACTTCTAATAAACTTATAAAAACTTGTAAAAACTCTGAAGAAAAACTACTTGAAGAGAGAAGCTTGAAAAGTTGTCGAAACAACAGCCACGATGGGACTGACTTAAACTTCAGTTTTAAATCTAAGGGTTGGCTCAAAACACCTCCACTAGACGAAAAAGGTGCGCGCGCAATCCTGGCCCAGTGGAAAGGGAAGAGGGGTAAGCCAAAAGAGAACAGAGGAAATGAAAAGAGGGAGGAAGGCAAAGCGTGCGACGTCGCTAGTTTTCCTCTTGAGGGGTCTCAGGCCCTCCACGTAGGAATACAATGAAAAAAGGAGAACCCATACACGTGTGGACCACTTGAAACAGAGAAACTTTCGAAATATACCAGAATTGGGATTTTACAACTTTACGACTGTGACCGATGTGTTTATTTTTCGCTCTGAGTTTAGAATTTTCAGGAAAAGCCTTTATGTAACGAATTTTGGAGAGTAATAAATTGAGAATTCAACTCAAGTACTTGACATTTACGATTGCTGGCAACGGTTTTTCTTACACTCGTCAAATTATTTTTTGTCCATTGTTCATTGTCCTCTGTTCGACCATTTTCTTGGCATTCTCAAATTTCAGACGTTTTATATTCATTGTGAAATAATAATTCAAATCTCGCGGATTAAAATGGACGATAAATAGTGCCATCTATAAAATTCAACGTCGGGACTTTACACAATCTCAGATGGACACATTCCGTTTTGGACACGTACTAAGGAAAATGGCGTCACTACGGGAGGCGGTGGAACAGATGACCACGGAAATTTGTGGTCATATTCGCGGATGGGCAGATTCTGATGAGATGGAGTCAGCAGAAACGTTTGACCGAGGACACTGGGGTGAAATGGTGACCGTGAAATCAATAACTGTTACATGACAATGTAGTTTCTGAATAGTTGGATGAAGGGAAATTTTCAATCGCATTGAGTATGTAATTTACTTCAACTCGTTTGAAGTAATTTCTGAATTATTTTCCGGGAAATATCAGTGGACGGGGCTTAGTTGATTTTGGAAAATTTTTATTCACTTCTTGGGGAATTTAATTAGTCAAGCGTCGACAGCAATAAAGGCCAACTATTGAAGCTCGTTGAAGCTTATTGAAGATCGTCCTTCCCACGGAGGTTGATTATCAGATGGTTGAGAGAAGAATCACAGAACAGCATTCTCACAGCCATTCAAGTCAAATTGACATCAAGATTTCTTCCTCGGACGCGCCAGAAATGTCGAAATAAAAAAATTTTCTTTCGTCCGGAAGAGGCTTCCCAAGACGTATCCAGTTCTGAACGGAAAGACCTAAGTAGAACTTGTCAGTTCCAACTATTCAACTCGGAGTACATATCACTCTCTTCGGGAGCGAACCCGGTAAACTATCAACTCTGCTACAAAACAAATGAAACTCATTGCTATTCCGATCCCGAGAAAACCAACGGAATGCAGAATAAAGTCGAAATCCGACACGGACTCGACATCTTCAAAAAGTTCCCGCTGTTTTGATATTGCGATCTTCTTCCAATGCTGTATTAGACCGCTCGCAAACAGTCTATTGTATTTTTTTTCCATTGCAGTGATGTAAAGACTCCCGGAATGTACTAAAATCATCTGTCGTTTCTTAAGTATGTAGTCATTGATGACATGTAGCTTGGTAAACGATGCGGTTGTTGCTAAAAATTCAAGGCTTGCTACCATGGCCGTTTGGTTCATGAGACCGCTTCTCCCGGCTTGTTCGATGGAGTCTCGAGAATATTCATCGGTGACAAGTTGGCACCGTTCACTAAGTCCGACAGGCCATA